AGAGTGCCAAAAACATAAAACAATTTCTTGGATTGGCTGGATACTATCGTAGATTTATTCAAGGATTTTCAAAAATAGCAAAACCATTAACTAATCTATTAAAAAAGGACATTGATTTTAAATGGGGGGACAAGGAGCAAGAAAGCTTTGATATATTGAGAAATGCATTATGTCATGAACCAATATTGCAATATCCTGATTTTACTAAACCTTTTCTTTTAACAACTGATGCATCTGGAACTGCAATTGGTGCAATTTTAAGTCAGGGACAAATAGGGAAAGATCAACCAATAAGTTACGCTTCAAGGGTATTAAATGAAGCTGAGAAAAATTATTCTACAATTGAAAAAGAATTATTAGCAATAGTTTACGCCGTGCAACATTTTAGGCCTTATCTTTATGGTAAAAAATTTAAATTAATAACCGATCATAAACCATTAACCTGGCTTCATAAATTGAAAGATCCCACTTCACGATTAGCGAGATGGAGAATTAAATTAACTGAATATGATTATGAAATAATTTACAAACCCGGAAAAATAAATGCTAATGCGGATGCTTTATCGAGAAACCCTGTGACAAATATATTTCCAATACATCCTTTATTTGATGAAATTGAAGAGTGCCCAGAAGATGATGAAGCAAGACAAAGAAATGCTAATCCTAAACCTTTGCCAGTTTCGCCAAGAAGGGGAATGATGATAGAAGAACCAGAGCCGGTAGTTACAGGAATGCAAACACGTAATGCAGAAAAATCAGAAGGAGAAAGCATACCCTTCACTAAGAAGGAATTAGAAGAACCTCCGTTTATCGAACACATAGTCCATGCAGAAATACACAATAATCCAATAAATCAAATCAATAATAATGAATCTTTAGAAACATACAATAATTTAATAGATCAGATAAATATTAATGAATCTTTACCTTTAGAATCATCAAACATTATAAATGACACACAAAATGAAACACTTGAAATAGAAACATCCTTAGAAAACATTAACAGCAATGACATAAATTCTTTAATTAGTGACAATGAAAACATAAATACTTTAAATTCACAAATAACTATACCATCAAATCTTTTAGAAATACTAAATAGTTTAACAGAAGATTGTGAAAATTATGAAATTTATCAAGATAAGCCTACCCATGTAAATCATTGCGAGGACCACACGAAAATTGCAGAGGAAGGAATCAACGACGACAACCCGAAAGACGACCAGGAAGATCAAGTTACTGACGATGACGACTCCGAGAAAGAAGAAGAGGTGGAACGAAGCGAAGAAGAAAGAGACAGCGACAGTGAGGAAGATATAGACACAACATTCAACGAACTTACGAATACAGACGAGACATTAGACAGAACCGAAAAACAAATAATAACGCGAGGACAGAAACACAGTATAATAAATAGTCGTGATCAAATATTTATGAGAAAAGAAAATTATTTATATTTCCTAACTGCAAATGGTAAACCTTGTGACGAAGGATCGAAACAACTTCAAAATCAAAATTTATTACCCAAAATTAAACAAAGTAAATCAGGAAATATTGAAATTATTAGAAGGGGAAATAAAATTCATTTGATTTTAATTTGTAAAGAAGATGTTAAAGAAAAGATGAGAAAAGAAACATTAATTGAACTTACATTTAAATTACGAGAAGTAGTAAAAGAAAACTCAATTAAAATAATAAATGTTGCAAAAACAAAAGAAATAGATAATATTCAATGGGAAGAAATTTTAAATCAAATTCGAAAAACATTGCTTGGAATTTCAATCAAATTAATAATATGCCATGGGTTAGTAATAATACCGGAAATTCAAAAAAGAAAAGATATTATTGAAGAAGCTCATTCATCAAAAATCGGGGGACATAAAGGAATAACCAAAACTTATAATCGAATCAGGCAAAATTTTTATTGGGGAAACATTAAAGCTGACATTCAAAATTATATTAGTCAATGTTTGCAATGTCAAATTAAAAAATTAGTTAGAGTTAAAACCAAACAGCCCATGCTAATTACTGACACACCATTTTCGTCATTTGAAAAAATATCAATGGATATAGTTGGACCATTACCTGAAACCACCAAAGGAAATTCCTATATCCTAACAATCCAAGATCATCTTACAAAATTTTCCCTAGCTATCTCTTTAAAATCAATAACTGCTGTTCAAGTAGCTGATGCGTTATTAAAATACTTTATTTGCATTTTCGGAGCACCTAAAATAATTTTGACTGATCAAGGCACAAATTTTATGAGTAATTTAATGAAAAGATTTACTAAACAATTCAAAATTAAACAATATAGAACAACTGCCTTTTACCCACAAGCAAATGGAGCTTTGGAAAGGTCACATTTAATATTAGTAGAATATTTAAAACAATACGTAAATAAATTTACAGAATGGGATGATTTATTAGAATATGCTACCTTTTCATATAATACAAGCACTCATGAATCAACTGGATATACTCCATATGAGTTGGTATTTGGAAAAACAGCCAGACAACCATCCAGTGAAATTGTTAATGACATTGGAAAAGAAAAGACATATGACGATTATTTATATCAATTAATGACAAATATTCACGATCTACAAGAATTGGCTCGAGAATGCTTAATTGCATCAAAATTAAAATCAAAATATTATTATGATAAAAAGATTAATCCACAAACCTTTCAAATAAATGATCAAGTTTTTCTTTTAAATGAACCAAAGAAAGGTAAATTAGGAGACCAATATTCCGGTCCACATATAATAACGGATATTTTACCTAATGGAAATATTAAACTCCTTTTTAAAGGAAAGTCAAAAATTGTTCATTCAAATAAAATCAGAAAAATGAAAATGTAAATAAGATTAAAGGTGTACCGCGCAACATTTTTAATCTTATAAGATAATATACTAATAAACTTTTTTCTTAATTGTAATTAATACAGATGAAGATGATCCTGATGAAGATGATAATCTCAATAGTCATCCTATTTCTCAACATTCAAAATATATACGGAATCATTGGATACGACTGCGGAACATCGAACTTCAATGTGACGACTGTATCATTATTGGAAATTGAAGAATGTAACATACCGTTAATAGAACCACATGTAGAAGAAACTAATATTCAATTATTACAACTTGCGAAATTTGACACAATCTACGTAATTCAATGTAAAATTTCGATTTCAAGAACAATTTATTACTGCGGAATGCACTCACATATAGCGACTGTAACTAATGCACAAGCGGAATATATTATCGATACGACGGTAGATCAATGTAAAAATATGCATAAAACCGGAACACTTATTATAAACGTTAACAATGTAATCAATGGGTTGAAAGTAAATCACACAACGTCGCGACCAATCACTTTTGCAGGATCAGTAACAACAGACGGACAATGTTTTGGAACGCAATATTCAGATCCTTATGGAACATGGCAAAATGTAGTTGTACAAGGAATAATAACAATTAGTCTAAATTCTCATCAAGCGGTAACTAATATAGAAACAAATCAGATACATTTAAAAACAGGAACAACTTGTCAATATTCAGATGGAAATTGTATAGATATTGAAGGAAAATATACTTTCTGGGAAACAATACCCAATGATTACTGTAAATTCAACCATTATGATGTATTATATGAAGGAAAAGCAAATAAGATGGTTAGTAATGTAGATAAAAATTTGCAAATAATTTATTCCTTGTCAACTAAAGACGTAACTTTTGCGTTAACACAAATGGGGGAAGAGCTTCTTTGTGGATATACATTAATTAAAATAGAACATCCAAAACTTGTAATTTTAGAAATTAAAAAAGGAGAATCTTTTGCGCATAAGCGCCAGATATCAGTAGAAAATTTAGATATTTTTGCTTATGTAAATTCAAAATTCATTTATGTAGAAAGACATATACGCACACAGATGAATCGTTTATACACAGATGTATTAACACAATGCTGCAATTTGGAACGACAAGTAATGAAGAATGCACTGAGCCTAGCAATCCATGCTCCAGATGATTTTGCATACCAAATTATGAAAGGACCCGGATATATGGCAGTGATCTCTGGAGAAGTCGTACATATAATTAAATGCACTACGGTGGACGTTAAATATCGACACACGCAAGAATGTTATCAGCAGTTACCAGTATTTAAAGGAAATGAAACATATTTCTTAGCGCCGAGGACTCACATCTTGTTTAAAACAGGAACACAGACTACATGCAGCCGTATAATTCCAACAATGTATCTTTTAAATGACGGATGGTATCGAATAACACCGATTTTGGAATACAGCAAATCACCAGCGATAATAAAACCGAACAGTAAACCTACGTGGCAATATAATGATCCTGGACCTTTGGCAGCAAGCGGCATTTATACTAATAATGAACTTGAAAATTTAAGAGATCAAATTATGTTTCCAGCAGAAAGAAATGGAATTTTAAACACTATGGCGCGCGGTGTAAAGGGAGAACCAGTACAAACACAAGGAATATCACTCTCTCACCTTCTGGATGAAAATTCATTGGAAAAAATAACGGAAAACGCTTGGAAGAAAATTTGGGGAACGTTTTTATCTATTGGCAATGCAAGTGCAGGAGTAATTGGACTATATTTCTGCATAAGAACAATCAAATTAATAGTGGATACCATCATACATGGCTACGCACTTCATACTATTTATGGATGGTCAATATATTTAATTGGAGCGCTATGGGACTCAGTGACGAATTTGCTGTTACATTTAGCAAGAGGAACAACACGGAAAGGAAAAGATCGGACATCCTCAGAACAAGAGTCATCAGAAACAAACAAAACACAAGGAACATTAACACAAGTAATAACAGAAAATGAAAACTCGGAAATGAATACATTACATTCACAACAACATACAAGCAATATTACTTGCTCTATTCCTTGCTCTATTTCTGAGATTGAAATTAAAGATAATAAGAATAAAACAATTATCCACAATGAAACTCAAAACCTATATCCGCGATTATAAAAATAATAATAAACTCTAAATTCTTTAAGAAATCAACAATAGGTATTATTAAGGTTTCGGTTTGCAAGAATCAGTTTACACTATAGATAAGAAGGCTGCCCGAGGGACAGCTCGTAAATGTAAGTCAGTCCAAATTCAGACACGGCTTAAGCTATATCAAAGAAACTACAAATTATAAGTCAGTGAAAGAATCAAGGTGATAAAATAAAACTTTGTTAATAATTTTCTTTTCTTTAAATTTAGTAAAAACAATTAATAGTAATTTAAAATAATCAGCAGACAATGAAAGGACCAAAGATAGATAACAGAAGCGAGGAGGAGAAGAACGAATACTACGGACCAATAGACGGAGTGAGACCGATTGACTACAGAGAAGGAACATACCAAATATTTATGAGATGCATGTGCTTAAGCACAGAAAATAACGGCGAGATCCTTTACGTTGAGCGGAGTGATTCGAGAAGGAGATTATGCGAGGAATGCTACGATCGAGAATTCCAACCTGGAAATTTTGAGGAAGTGACCGGATGGCATTCGATATGCTCACCCTTACACGGAATTGACATCGATACAAAAGTTAATTGTTACTTTTGTAATCAAGAATTAATGTGGTTAAGGCCGTCTCACCAGTGCCGAGACTGTCTCGAGGAATACGTCAGGAATAGAGTAGACTTTGAAATTATGGAATTTCAACGAAAAAATTTCGAAATTAAGGTAATTAAAAGATATTAAAAAAAAAAGAAAAAAAAAAAAAATAGTATACGATATTGATATAGATATTATAAATTATCCCAAATACTATATTATACCATATTATATTATGGATTTTAGAAATTATGTTAGAAATTATTTCGTTAAATTCAATATTATTTTTGAAAATATTACTTAACATTCAATTTTAAATATTATGTACACATTATTATATGTTATATACGTTATTATTATACACATTTAAATATTATTACACATATTTTACACTATTATACATTATTATTATTATTATATGCATTATTATAGTTT